GTAATTACTTACTAACATTAAAGTACATATTTTTAAATTTAAAATTATAATTAATTACCAATAATTTAAATAATTTAATGATGATTTTCTTTTATTGGAAGTAAAAATTATAAGTTCGAATTACGTGATATATGAGTGAGATAGAATAAAGAATGAAAAAAAGTTACTTTTTATTGTATAATCAAGGTAAAAAATACCAACAATTTGTTAGTTCAAGTGGAAGGAACTTAATTCTTATCAAATAAGATTTCGAGTTTGAGTCTTGTAAATGGAAAAAATAGATGTTGCGAGAGTTTTCCCCATATGAGATTCAACCTGGCTCGATTTTGGATTAATTAGGATCCAATGTGATTTCTAAATACCAGGGGTTAATAAAAAAAAAATCAAGGTAAAAAAATTTATGATTAATCATATTAAATTTATATCATATGTATCTTAATCACTTGAAAAATTTCCTTACCTATAGGGAAATGTTAAGAGAGGGTCAAAGGCTTTATATTCAACTGATGGGCATTGGGCCGATACACTACCATTGAAAAGAGGCCAACAGGCCCAACTTTCAGTATCATTATTGCATGCAGCATACTAATGGACTGATCTGCTTCGCCTAAAATATTGACGGCGCGGGCCTGGCGTAGCCCACCAATCCCCGAGCTTCAGTTATGGCGGGGATCTAACTGTTTTTGATTCTCAAATGGGCTTTTCCTCTCGCATGCCATACAATAATTTATTTAACAGAAGTTTTGAGATCTCTCTCGCCGTCAAAACCAGAGGTTTTAGCATGGTTTTGAAACCCGGACCGGACCGGCCGGTTGAACCGGTTGGACCACCACCCGGTCATGGAAACGGACCGGATACATATCCAGAACCGTTTGAGCGATCCAACTGCCCAAACCCACCAGACCCGGTAAAACCGTCCAACCCGGAAGACCCGGCGAGCCAAATGCTTTTGTTTAATACCCCTTTTGCCCTCCTTTACACGTTACAATTCTATGGTTAAAATCAAGGTTTTTAAAATCAGACCAGACCAGTTGGTTGAACCGGTCAAACCGATACTTGATAATGAAAATAGCTTGGTTCACATAAAAAACCGTTGGAGGTCAAAACCGGTCAAAACCGTTCAAAACCAATCAAAACCGATAAAACCGATGAAACCAATAAAACCAAAAAAACCACCGGTTTAATTTCCATGCAATTTTCTTTTTATTTTTTCCAATTTCACCCTCACCATTCCTTTCTTATATCGATTTTAACCCTTAATTTTAATTAAATTACAAAATTACCTATCCCTCTCATCAAATTTCTCTTGTTATTTGAACCGATCGGTTCACCAATTCAACCAGTTGAACCGGTCAAATCGAAAACCAAACCCAAAAATGGTTCGATGACCAATCCGGTTTTAAAAACTTTGGTTAAAATACTAAAAAAACCATAATTTGAATACAAATTGGTAAAATACCAAAATTAGGAAATAGTATATTCCACTGCTTCAGATCTTCTTCCACGATTAGGAAAGGTTAAATACCTTTTTTTGTTCTTCTACTATAAGAAAAAGCTCTTTTTTGGTCCCTATACCGAAAAAATCTCTTTTTTGATCCTTAAATTTCAAAATCCGGCCCCTTTTTAGTCATCTCGTCAAATTTTGCTTGTGTGGCACGTTAACTTAACTGGAACAATTGACGTGGGTATGCTAACATGTAAAAAATGCTTACGTGGACTTCTGACACCTGCCACGTCACTCGCCACGTCACTCTCCCCTCCAATTTTTTTCATTTTCGCGCGTGAGAGAGTGACGTGATGAGTGATGTGGCAGATGTCAGAAGTCCATGTAAGCATTTTTTATATGTTGGCATACCCACGTCAGCTGTTCCAGTTAAGTTAACGTGTCACGTGAGCAAAATTTGACGGAGGGACTAAAAAGGGGCTAAATTTTAAAATTTAAGGATCAAAAAAGTGATTTTTTCGGTACAAGAATAAAAAAAAAGGTTTTTTCGGGACAAAAAAGGTATTTAACCATTAGGAAATAGGAACCCTAAGCAGGTTTTTTTACCCTTTCTATCCCCCACGGTTCTCTACCCTAAGCCTTGTTCTTCTTCTTCTTCTTCTTCTTCTTCTTCTTCTTCAGTTCTTCACTGCTTTGTATATTTACCGCCGCAGTGTACTCTGTCCTCGACAAGCTCACCGCCCCCAGATCTTGGATTGCCGCCGCTCAACCATCGACCATTGTAGAGCCAGAGGAGGAGGTGGACACGATTCACAGTTCGATTAGCACTTTCTAAATCAGGGCTTCCCCCGATTGGAGCCTTTTAGAGAATCGCAACTACCAAGCAACAGAATAGAAAGAGAGAACAGACCTCGCCTGAGGGAATAAGGTCGCACAATCCCGGCGAACAGCTGGTTCGTATCTCATTGTGTTAATTGTCAAAGAGATTACATTGTTTGAAAAAAGCAAAGAGCTCGTTTGTATTTCACCTTTTCATTTTGGACAGAGTTTTTACATTGTTTGCTGGAAATTAGTTGTAACTTAACCCAATAGTTTCTACAACAAATTTTTCTCCTTGACTTTTCGGAGATTACAACACTTAGATTCAGATTTAACTCTTTTACTTATATATACAGGACACTGAGAATTAAAACTAGGGAAGGAGAATGTTATAATTTAGTTGATAATTAAGAATTTGATTCAAGTTAGGGTTCATTGCCAATTTGTTTATGCTTCAATTTCTCTAAAAAAATCGGTTGACCAGTTAATGACATATTTGAAATTGCAACAATCATGATTTAGTTTAGTATATTCCTCATCTTTTTACTGCTTATTTTGGAGAATAACAATTTGTTGGGTTTTGCTCTGCATTTTGAGTTTATTTACAGAGTATATTTATTTATGTCAAATTCAATTTGAATTTCTTTGTCATGGTTTTAGTTGCCAAAAACAGACCTTTTTTTTTATAAGCTAGCTCTAGCATGATAAAAAGCTGCTTGGTTTCCTGGAAAATGAGCAATGCCACGATTTTATTACATAGGAATAGAAATTTTTAGAGACCTATTTTTCATATATATATACATGTATGATTTATTAATTTTGAGATTTGTAGTTATATGATATTTTTTTTATTTATTTGTTGAGGTTTTAGACTTATTTTTATGTATTTATTGAGTTTTTGGATTTGTAGTTGCTACAAATTGCAAGTTAAAAAAAAGAGAAAACTGCAGCAGGGTCAAACGGAAAACACAAGATTCTGTTTTTGCATTTTCCATTTGACCCGACTAGTCGGCTGGTTGAACCGATCGGACCGGTCGGATCAGGAACCGATGAGCAAACCAGTTCTATGTTCGGTTCGGGTTTCAAAACACTGGTTAAATGTTAATTTTGGTCCCTCAACTTTAGTGAGTTGCATATTTTTGGTCCCTCAACAATTTTTTACACTTTTTTGATCCCTCGATTCTAAGAAATGCACACCGTTAGTCTTTCTGTTAATTTGGACAGTTAACTCCACTCATGTGGTATTTTTTATATTTTTTTTTATGACATGACGAAAACAACTTAAAAAAATGTTGATATGGACATTTTTTTTTATAACATGTCAACGCCAACTCATAAACCAAATTTGATTAGCATTTAT